TGTATTGAAATAGTGCACATATTTAAATGGTAGGTTATTGGATTAGGGCGTTTATTGGATTAAGGAGGTTATTGGATTATGCCATTGGTAAATTCAGGCATGTGTAGGATTAGAGCGAGTAGGTAATGTAATGCTTGGAATATATTCTTACGCATGAAGAATCGAGGCGTGTTGTTTAAATGTTACTAAGTGGTTAAGGAGTGTTGTGGATTAATACTAGCAGTAACTTACCTATTATATTCTGACTTTTTAATGGGGAAATTTGAAGATTGCAAACTTTAATTATTTGATGTAAGCCCTACCTCACACAGCAGCATACAAGCACTGACTCACTAACCCTTGTTTCCTTGAGTTTTTGGGGGCTTTAAACATTAATTACCTCCCCTGCTCTTAGGGCCAGCTTATTAGCCAACAGGGGAAAAATGTTTAGGCTAATCAAGCTTTTAATTACTAATCTAGGGATACCTGGTGCTTGCAGACGTGAGCTGGTCCGCCATGTTGGACTGTTCGGCCATATTGGATGTTGTATAATTACATACAGATGTGGTTAGCTATAGCACGGCCTTTCAGTTCGAACCCCACTAGTGTAAGGAAAACAGTTTTAAAGTATAAAATTTGGATGAGGGACGGCGTGGCCTAGAAATAGAGCGCTAGACTGCTAACCCGATATTTACAAGTACGAATACGGGTTCAAGTCAGTATACGTCCCTGATTCCACTCATCTATGATTAGTACCTAACTTACGCTAGGGAAAACAAAAGCGGCAGTACACAGTGTTGACCATACTATCGCTTCAGATGCCGAAGTCACTGAAACAGTTTAACTCTACTTCATCTGCCAGATTTGTCTTGGATCTCTACCTTTAACAAAAAATGTCTAAATGAATTTAATTTTAAAATAGTATTGTAATGAGGTAAAAAACCAATTATATTTTCAATATCGGCAGTGTTTGAAATAAGGGGAGACTATGTTTACCGTACAAGAGAGGTCAAGAGAAGCAGAAGTAACAAAAGGGTCAATCCGTCCTTTGTCCTCTTACCTAGATCATACCCTTTGTTTATTTTTTCAACAGCTCTCCTCGAAAGATATTGTACTGTCCATTAAGGGGGAGACATTGATTTTTTAATCGAAAAGAGAGAGGAAGTTTAACTAACCCCTACATTTTTGTGCGTTGTAATCTAGTAGTAGAAGTTCCATAAAGACATACTGCCGACATAGGTCATGTGGTGATTCTGTCAAAACATATGTAACTCTAACTGTCCATAGTTTTTTTATAACATCCACCAATTACGCAAGTCTAACCTACTACAAGGGAAACGAGTTTAATTCGTTCCGTAATATTGCTTAAATTTAAATGTCAAATAGCCTGTATATCAGAACAGTTTTCTCCATTAATCCGTTCATTCCTCCAAAATAGCTACGATGTATGATCAGTTGCAACATTTGTGGGGTGTTTCTTGTCCACATGGGTTCACTTGCTCGTATCTTAAATGTTGCTCGTAACTCAAAGAAAACATCACTAGCTCAACTGCTCGTATATAAATAGTTTAGTATACAGAATCACTCGTAGATAAAGGTACCACTGCTCTAACCCCAAATTGAGTAAATCCCAAATTCGAAATAAAAGTGGCTGTTACGAGAGAGGTGAACGGAATTAGGGTCTGGATAGGTAAATAAATCATTCTGCATATTGCATAAAATACGTGAATTGTGATCCGGTTACCTTTCTATGTGCTGCAATGAAATGGTACATAACAAAGGGCAAGTAAGCAAATAATGTCTAGAGTTATCTTACCTGACAATAGTAAACACACACAAAAAGAAATTAAACCTTATACAACAGTGGCAGGACGGAGACTAAAAAGGGAAGTAATCTCTTTTTTAACTCTAAATAACAGACAACTCCGGCTATCCGAGCCACCTTTTTGATCAGCTGTGACGAATAATTCCATTTCAAAGTTTAAAAGTGAATATCACTTTCAAATTGAAAAGCCTTGGAAATGTACACCGCTCTTAAATCAGATGGAAATCTATTACACAATGTAAATGTAAATTTATACTGAACACGGAATACGTTCAAGCTTAATCGATTTGTATTTAAATCGAAATTATTTCCAGACAATTTAAAAAAAACAACAGAAACTCTAGAACAACATGTTCTCGAGGTTAGACCGAATGTTAGCAAAATACGGAACACTTTTACTCTTTAGTGTAAATATTAATTCCAGCAAGTTAACCCCCCCCCCCGTCCTTTCCCCATAACTCCTACCTATAAAACATTTCATTTAGTAAAATGTATTTCAACAGATACTGTGTGATATAAATAGAATCGTGTACAAAAAATAATTAAATAAACCTGGTTTTCATCTACTTTGCTCTAAATGACTGAGATAAACTAAAATTATGGTTGAATCATTGATACAAAATCCAGGTGTAAGTGCACGTTCAAAGCCAGTCATTCTGCTAGAAGATGTATAGATAAGATCGAGAATAACGAAAGAAATAAAAGCTAGCTTCATATCCGCGAGGTCAAAAGTTGAAAGGTGAGAAATATTTTTTTTCCCTATAACTTCGTCGTGAGCCACAAGTAGGTCATCGCACCCCAGCCCCCCACCCCCTCCCCCCACGTCGAATGCAACGTGGTAGCAACGGCCTTGCCGCGCGGTACCACCACTCACGCACTCACCCCCACACACACACTCACCGCTCGCCAGCGTACGATTCCCGTCTCGCCGACACCGCGTCATACCGCCGGCTTTTTGCATGTGATGACAGGCAGGAGCTCAGCGAACGATGACGTCATTTTGTGACGACGTTCTCGAGGCAGTAGCGTGCTCAACGTGACGCACGCGCATGCACGCTGGAGTTATGAGTTTCGAGTGAGCTGTCCAGGCACAAAGTTGACTTGGTCGTGCCGTGCTCTAACATCATCGTCTGCTGGAGTCGGTCGGTTTCGTCTGCAAAAAAACAAACTGACGCCTGGATTCTATGACGTCACTTTGCCGGTAAGTGAGCTTCGTCTGGGTATAGCTTGTGAGGGGTCGTGCAATTAAATTGTTTTTCTTGTGCAGGCTAGAATTAGGTGAACGGAAATTTCAATTTTTTTCTTACTGGAAAAGTAGTGCTTTAATGTTCATCCACTCTCTCCCCCCCCCCCCCCCCCCCCCCCACCTTTTTTTTTTTTTGTCTCATCGGAACTAATTGAATTATGGATAAGGCAGATATGATTTCATAATTGATTATATGCATTTACACCGCATCCAAAAAAATTGAAAATAGAGCGAATCAATGAGTGATTTAGTGTCGTGATGGATTGATTTGTTCATACTAATAGTTAACACTGCTGATTTAATCATTCATTCACACAGATGAAATGTGGCCGAGGTGAAAAGCACACTGCAGAAAGCACATTCTAGCAGAATTTCCTGGTTGGGAATAGGCCAACTTTGAAATAAATCGGTCCGTTAGAAGTAGTTGAAATTTCGCAAGCCCGTTTCGATCCGTGACAAAACATTAAGCACTACGGAGAGATTTCGACAGTTTTAAGTAAGTGACGTTTCATGGTTTCTTGGTTAATGTTGAGAGTTGTTTTTTTTTTTATTGTTTTTTTTTCATGAAATTTACAGCGTCAGATTGCCTTGCATGTTCGCTTTAGTATTACAGTTTTAATCATCGGCTTGTGAGGAACGATACAGATTTACAATAGTAATATTTCTTTCTTACTTTCATGCATTTAAGATGGTTTACTTATACATATATCTAATACAAAACGTCTAATTACAATTATTTTTTTTAAAAACCTGAAAATGCAAACCCTCGGCAAAGTGGGTTGTGGTGGGTTTGGGCTTTAAAGTAGAGCTGAAATTAATTTAGGATTACGGTAAATTAAAACTATAGAAATTTTAAGCAAGGTCAATGTTTTTTTTTTATTTCTATACAATAAAATTGAAAAGGGAATACTATGTCAATTGCTATACAATTTTAAAAACAAGGTCAATGTTGAGATATTTTTGAAAAGTTAATGCTTAGGAGAACAGTCTAGGATCAATGTGGTGTGTTGGACTTTCAAAAAGTTAACAAATTATATTTACAATAGCTAAAGGTTTTATATTTGCATTAGAGAAGATAGTATAATTCTTATTTTTCTCTAATGTAAAGATTTTAATGTTTTTTCATACGCTCATTAATATAAACGATTGATTATTCAATTTACATTGATACTATCTTTTAATATAGCTGCTTTGAAGTTTCTATGTATTATAAAAATATTAAGCATTTTATTAGAAAGTTATATCCCTTTAATACTTTACTTTATTAATTAAGGGAAATAACCAGGACTATTCGATATTGAACGAAAACCTTTTTTTTTAAAATGCAATTGGTTTCAACCTATCAATAATGAAATTAACGAAGATATACATAACTATATGTATTATTGATTGATGTGTTGATTAATTGCTTATAATACTTGCGTTTGTAAATTACTATGTTGTACATTTCTGTTGTTTTACGCACAAACTCTCCTGCTGAGAGGCTCGTCTCACAGTTTGATAACCCCTGCTCTACGTTAGCTTGATCAGCCATTGGAGGCATATTTGTGTGTTCGGGCATTCATTCGTAGAACAGAACTTCCAAAGGACTGTAGTTCTAGTCCAGGGGTCTCCAAACTTTTCAGTCCGAGGGCCGCATTAACTATCAAATTTCACTTCGGGGGCCAGTTTCTTCCAGGCATGTCTTTGATTTTTTTCTGCGCAAAGTTCTTCAGCCATCACCAACAAACGATTTTTCCTTAGACAAAAAGATCTCCGCGGGCCGGATGAGAGAACTTCGCGGGCCTGGAGATCCCTGTTCTAGTTCAAGAGATAAGTCCGAAAATGATTTAGTCTGTTATCCATCATGTTTATACTCAGCTCAAATGGCTACCTGAATAGCTGATGGTATTTACTGTGACAGGTTGCTCAAGACTTTCTGAAATATTTGTACCGGATTGACTCAAACTGTCTCATTATCATTATTATTCTCAAGGAGCCAAAATATATATGATCCTAAGTTGGAGTGCCAAACTAACCCAACTGTTATTTATATTGCGATGAAAATCAAGTATTATAATTATAAGGACAGGATTTAGATTTGATAAGAAACTAAGCTTTTTTTTTTCGTTGAGGACCTTTTAAGTCCATATATTATATGTCAGTGGTTAATATTAGCTTGTATTTTTTAGTGTTGCTTACAAAAATGTGTTTATAAAAGTTGAATCTCCGACAGTTTGAAAAAAAAAATTAAATAAATGTTTTGAAAATAAATTTGGTGAAAAAGTGCCTACCACGGTTTTCAAAAAAAAAAAAGATGAGCGGGTGGGGTGACGGCAAGATAACGGGGACCCTGAGCTATATATTGTTTAGCGTATACGTAAATCCGGCACTGCATACTAACCAAACTGTTATTAGCAGAGGCGTAGCGAGGGGGGGGGGGCGGGGGGGACATATGTCCCCGGGCGCCGACCTTAGGGGGGGGCGCCAAATTGAAAGTTTGAGGGGGGGGGGTGCAAATGAAAAGTTCGAGGGGGGGGGTGCAAATCGAAAGTTTGAGGGGGGGGGAGTGCAAATGAAAAGTTCGAGGGGGGGGGGGGGGTGCAAATCGAAAATTTGCTCCCGAGGGGGGCGCCAAATTGAAAGTATATCCCCGGGCGCCGGGAAGGGTCGCTACGCCTCTGGTTATTAGCACTGCGATGAATGAAACAAATGTTTTAATCTATGTGTTAAAGCTTAACTATGATTGCTCTGGTTAAATCTATTCTGGTGTGTTGAAACTAGCTACATTGTTGAAACGTACAATTATTTTGAAACTACCCCAGTTAATCGTAATATCAATCTCATTCATTACTAATCAACATACCGCAATTAATTATAAATATTAAACCTTTCCCTAGTAGCACTTCCGGTAACATTAACCTCACTGCCGGTAAAAACATCCTGCTCCGGCCACTACCGGAATCGTCTGCCGGCTAGTTCCATCACTGTTCGCGAATGTACCAGATTTAGCTGACGTGAATTCCGGGTCAACGCAAATGTACCAAATTCTGTTTTTCTGATATCCCGGGTCAGTGCGTATAATAACCAGTGTTTCTTCCAGACCTTTTTTTCTCCGTGGGGGGGGGGGGGGGGTACTTGAAATTTTCGATGGGGGGGGGGGGCGACTAAAATTTCCGGGGTGGGGGGCATTGTTAAATGTATACATTTTCTATATAAATTCCATTTCGTTCGGGGGTGTGGGGGGGGGGGGGAAGTAGACTTTCTTAGGGGGGGGGCGGAGCTGCCTGGAAGAAACTCTGACAATAACACGGGTAAGGGCGTAGGTACCGAATACAAACTGTGATTTCTAGGTCAGTTCGGTTGAATAAATGTGAGACTTGTATCTCCATTGAGGGGCAGTGGACCTAGACGACATGATGGCATTGAGACTTGTATCTCTATAGTTAGGCAGTAGGTGGACCTAGATGACCTGATGACATTGAGACTTGTATCTCCATAGACGGGCAGTAGGTGGACCTAGATGACCTGATGGCATTGAGACTTGTATCTCTATAGACGGGCAGTAGGTGGACCTAGATGACATGATGACATTGAGACTTGTATGTCCATAGACAGGCAGTAGGTGGACCTAGATGACCTGATGACATTGAGACTTGTATCTCCATAGAGGGGCAGTGGGTGGACCTAGATGACCTGATGGCATTGAGACGTGTATCTCCATAGAGGGGCAGTAGGTGGACCTAGATGACCTGATGGCATTGAGACTTGTATCTCCATAGACGGGCAGTAGGTGGCCCTAGATGACCTCATGGCATGGTTAAGCCGTGGGTCAGGTCGGTCCTTTTCGGTCCCGTGTGGGGATTGGACGGAGTGATTAGGTGACGCGTCGTTTGACGTAGGCGGAAATAATTTGTTTGTGTTGTAGCCCTCGCGGAGGGAAGTGCTTGCTGTTGTCGTGTCCGTTCATGGTTGGTACTTCATTGGCTGTCGTGTGTCTTCGTTATTGTATCAGTCAATGTGGTGTCGTGTCAGTTTCTAAATGGCAATCAATTAGTTAACGTGTGAGTTCATAAGTGTAGTCTGTTTGTTGTCTAGCAGGTTAGTGATTGTTAGTTAAGTTGTTGTGTTTTTCTTATTTGGTAGTTACAGTTTTGTCTTCTGAATTTATGGTAGGTAGTTGAAAGAAACATCGACACCGGTAGATTTTTCGGAGTTAAAACACTATCAGACAATTTGTTTGTTAAAGTGAACATTCCCAACTAGAGGTCAGTCTGTTGATCAAAAATTTAGGACCTTCAACTTGACATGTTGACATAAGTCTTGAGTGATGTTCACTTAGAAAACCCTGGGCCTACAGTGACTTTGCTAACAATGGCTTGCGTAGTGGCGAAGTAGGAAGTTAACCATCGAATAAATAGGGCAATCTCTGGTGAGGGAATAACTTTGCTACGCGGACCTTCATAACAGAATACCGGTATATCAACATGGAGGGACGGATAGTAACTATGATCGCGCACGTGTAACTCACATCTCCTCAATATGATACACCAAGATACATTAAGATACATTAAGATACACTAAGTGCACTAAGATACACTAAGATACAATAAGATACAATAAGATACAATAAGATACACTAAGATACACTAAGTGTACTAAGATACACTAAGTGCACTAAGATACACTAAGTGCACTAAGGTTCACTAAGATACACTAAGAAACACTAAGATACACTAAGATACTCTAAGATACACTATGATACACTAAGATACACTAAGATACACTAAGATACACTAAGATACATTAAGATACACTAAGATACACTAAGATGCACTAAGACACACTAAGATACACTAAGATACACTAAGAGACAGTAAGATACACTAAGATACACTAAGATACACTAAGATACAATAAGATACACTAAGATACACTAAGATACACTAAGATGCACTAATATATACTAAGATACA